CTTACATGAACTTGGATTATAAGATGTTATCAGAAGAACATAATGAAATTTGAATTTGAATGCCGGTTGCAATGTGCACGCTGATGCGTGTTTGTTTTGATGTAGTTACGCACGTTTCATTGTGTTTGTTTGGTAAATAATCGTAGATAAAGCAAGGACTTTTCCCTTCCCTCCGTCATTTTTTCTCTCTGTCTACCTATCTGTCTGTCTGTCTGTCTGTCTCTCTCTCTCTCTCTCTCTCTCTCTCTCTCTCTCTCTCTCTCTCTCTCTCTCTCTCTCTCTCTCTCTCTCTCTCTCTCTCTTTATCTCTTTATCTATATCTATCTATCTATCTATTTATATATCTATCTACTCTCTCTCTCTCTCTTTCTCTCTATATCTTTTTATCTCTATCTATCTATCTATCTATTTATCTATCTATCTATTCTCTCTCTCTCTCTCTCTCTCTCTCTCTCTCTCTCTCTCTCTCTCTCTCTCTCTCTCTCTCTCTCTCTCTCTCTCTCTCTCTCTCTCTCTCTTGTTTTTTTTTTTGCAAAATCATTCAAAATTATCAAAAGTTTGAACCTATCCATATGGTTGATGAATGTTGCCATATCTCACCTTGAAAAATATTGAGTATTTGCAAATTTCCAGAGATGGCAGAGTGGCCTGTGGCACCTCAAGGCAACGTTCTGGCATTTTCGGTTCATCCACGCTGTGTATTTTTTCTCCTTTCCTTCCCCCTTGTTTATTATTGTTATTATTATTATTATTCGTTATTATTGTTGTTATTATCGTTAATATTGTTATCATTATCATTATTGTTATTATTATTATTAACATTATCATTATTATTATTATTGTTGTTGTTATTGTTATTGTTATTGTTATCCTTATCCTTATTATTATTATCATTATCATTATTATTATCATTATTAATATCTTCATGTAACGAGCACAAGGGATGTGAATTAAGAATGACCCAAAATTCGTCTAGAAACCACCCTGTATACACCTCACTTAGTCTTTATGCATATGTATTATTTAAGTATACCTCAGTTTTTAGCTTTAATTATTTGAGAAAAAGGTACTTTAATTATTTTTCTAGAAAGATGATATTTTATTTTAATAGTTTTGCATGAAATTATATATATTCCAATATTATATTTTTTCTAAGATAAGAAAATTGTAAAATATGATAGTCTACCCTACAAAGTATAAGCTTTTTTGTTACCCCCACCATACATTCTCTTTATTTAAAGGGTACGCTATTATATTTCAATAGTATTATTATATTAAGGTTGTATAATTGATATTTTTGTAAAGAAAACCATATATATTATTTTTGTTAATGGAAGGATTCATTTAAGTTCTGAAAATTATGCATGTATAGATTAAGAAGGACTGTATAAGTGTAATATATGTGATCTGAGTAGACTTTAAAATTCAAAGTATATACAGTGCTAAATCCTGAAAACATAGCTATAATCATAGAGAGAGAGATCGAGATCAGAGAGGAGTGCCATACAGCAGCCTGAAAGAGTATTTGATTATCGTGAAATATCTGAGGTAAGAAAGAACATTCCACTATAATAATATAATTAATAAAGTCATGAACTACTGTACAATTGATTTACAGAAGAAAAGAAAGTAACTATTTGAGATTAAACTGTAAATTAGAGATAAAGAGTATATCTTCACAGCTCGAGGCTGGCACATGGCACATGGCTCTTGAATAACATCCGATGTGTCTCTCTTGTTTATAAGAATTTAAAACCCATTCAAAGAGTAAGTGTTCTTGGCATTCATAATTGTATAATATTATAATGATATTTAATCAAATATTACGATAATATATTACTCAGATCGTATATGATAACATAAATATTATATAAAATTTGTTTGTTTGTAAGAAATATTGTTTTTCATCTTACAAGAACTGATTTACTTACATTTAATAACTTTATATTGTTTATCATTCCTAAACTAGAATTTTGTTTCTTTTCTAGGAGTGTTTTTTTTTGTTTTTGTTTTTTGTTTTGTTTTATTTTTTTATGGTTTGTTTGGTTCTTCTGAAGTTGTGATTTATGCGTCCCTGGGGCTGTGAACAAGAATGAAAGAGCCCAGGACATTGATGAAGACAAGGAAAGAAGACACCTGAGAAGAACCAGAAGAATAAAAGTGACAGGTTGGAATACAACCATTTGGGACATTTATTTTTGTAGATGAAAGTTTATTTTACTGTAGAAATGTAATGATCTTCAACTCAATATATCAACAACAAATGTAAACTTATTAAGTGGTTTGATATTATCCCCTTCTCTCAGTTACCTCTAAGGGTGAAATTAGATCATAAGTAACCTGTATGAACATATATATTTTAGTGTGGGTTCTAAAGAGTACTTTTGGAGAAACCACACACTTGTATTAACAGATAGTGCCCCTCTGGATAAAGTCTGAGTGGTTCCGAGAGCAAAGAGAAGTAATAAGATCTTTGCTAAGGAGCATAGAAAAGGGAGGGCACAATATATTCATTATCAATACTATCATTATCATCAATGCGTGTGTGTGTGTGTGTGTGTGTGTGTACGGATGATGATCAAGTAACTCATAAGATTAAAATCTTTAATTTTTGGTATGATTCAGATTAAATTCGATATTCAAAATCTTCCTACGCCGTGATTCTCGGGAGATAAGTAGGTCGCTTTTGAAATTCGGTCTGAAATTCGTGACTCCGAAATATTAATAAAATCTTTCCACTTCTGCTCCTTCTTCTTCTCCTGCTTCTTATTCCTATCCTTATTATTGTTCTTATTCTGTTTCTGTTTCTGTTTTACCTTATTATCATTATCATCATCGTTACCATTATCATCATTACTATTATTATTATTATTATTATTATTATTATTATTACTATTATTATTATTATTATTATTTTCATTATTATCATCATATTATTATTATCATTATTATTTTTTTTATTATTATAATTATTATTATCATCATTATTATCATTACTATTATTACTATCATCATTATTACCATTACTATTATTACTATCATCATTATTACCATTACTATTACTACTATCATATTTTACTATCATTACTATTATTATGCTTTTATTCTTATACTCCTCCTGCCCCTTCTTATTATTCTTCATCTTATTATTTTTTCTTCTTTTCCTTCATTTATCTTTTTCTTATAATTCTTACATTATTCCTCTCGTTATGTCCATGTTATCAGTCGAAATTTCATTCCCACTCTTTTCCTATTCAAAGAGTACACCATCCTTGTACAAGAAAACACTCATTTGTACAAGAATTACAATCCCTCGCGTAGTCTTCTTGTACGTCATACCTCCAGCGCCGATACTCCCTCTGGCGTGGACATTCTTTCCAGCAAGCGTCCCCATTGTGAACAAAATAAACGCAGTAGCCCAATTCCAAGAGATGGTCTCAAGGTGTTCATTAATCTTTATGACAGCAGGGAGATGGACGCCCTACGCTGGGATCCCGGAATGATGATGCATCGTTGGCGCCAGAGGGAAGCTTGGGTTTCTCTGCTGTGGATGGGATGGTTTGTGTGTGTGTGTGTACAATGCGCGGGTGCATATTCACACACGTACGTACATACACAAACATATATGCATAAATATGTGTGTTTGTGTGTGTGTGTGTGTGTGTTTGTGTGTGTGTGTGTGTGTGTGTGTATGTGTGTGTGTAGATAGATGTGTATGCATGTATATATATATATATATATATATATATATATATATATATATATATATATATATATATACACTCTCTCTCTCTCTCACACACACACACACACACACACATACTTACATGTATGCATTTATACATATACACAGATTCCAGGCATTTCCAAGAGACAATTCCCTGCGAGCTACTTTCGGTGTTTCTTCACAGCTGCAGACGATGGATGGCGCACCTTCTCTGTAATTCTCCGCCTGCAAGTTGCAGACACGTTCTCAGCGCATTCCGAGGATCCATTTAATTTAAGCGAACGTTTGGGCGCGCGAGAGGCAGATGAACCTCCAGCGCCATTGTTGCTAATGAGTGACTATTTCGTTATTCTTCTCGCTTCTGCAGGCTTGGGTTTTGCTCTCGAGTTCTTTCTTATGCTCTGTATTTATGGTTGGTTATATATTTACATGTCTGTTTGCTTTATATGTGATGGATATATCTCATGGCTTTTTTTTCGCTAGGTTTATTTCTTCATTCTCTTCAAATCTTTGGTTTTGCTCCTAATTCTCCTGTTCTCTCTTCCTTTCTCTTTCTCTTTCTTTCCTCTCTCTCTCTCTCTCTCTCTCTCTCTCTCTCTCTCTCTCTCTCTCTCATCCCCACCGTCTTTCTCTTTACCCTCTCTCTTTCTTCCCTTCTCCTTTCCTCTTCTCCTTCCTTCTCTCCGCCCTTACCCCCAACCCTTCCCCTATCCCCAACCTCTTTCTCCTCCTCCTCCCCCTTTTCCCTCTCCAAACCCTCCGCTCCTCCCCATCCCCTACCGGTCTCAACCCACATCCCTATCTTCCCCACACCCTTACCTCCCCCCTCCAACCCCTCCTCTATCCCCTAGCCCCATTCCCCACCGGTCTTCGCCCTCCCCCCCCCCTCCCCCCCTTCCCGCCGAGCAAACAAATCCCCTCCGCGCCGCCCGTGTGAAGGAGGCGAGCGAAGACCGGCTCTGAAGGCAAATGAGGCTGGTCCATGTCGAGCGGAGAGTATTTACTGAGCAGACGACGCCTTCGCTCGTACGGCGGACTTGGCTAGAATGGATCCACCAATCATCGAGGCGGCATTACGCTTGGGAATCACGGTATTCACTTCTTTACCGTTTCCAAAAGCTGGGGGGGGGGGGTGTTAATGTAGTAAGGGGGGACGTGGAGAGGTGTTTAGAATCATGATGGCATGAGTGAGGTGTTTGTCTTTTGGGTGGTTGACTGAAATGGATCCATTCTTGCCGCGCTCGTGAAAATGGAATGGGGTTGAAGGTGTTCGTGGAGAGGTGAAAATGTGAATGACGTTTTTTTAATCATCTTGTTATGTGTTGTTACGAACGAATGTTGGAATTTGTTTCACATATGACTTTCTCGCCGTGTGTGTGGGAAGCTGAGGTTTACAGGCGTGAATACTTCTGTGATTACATCTGAAGCCTTCGCGTAGAATTACATAATGTTCTATTTCAAACTGAACGGTAAGCCTAGCACATTGTGGTATTTGTTGTGATTTCTCATAACTTAGATGACACCTACATTTTAATTCGATCTAGTTTTTTTTTTCAGAAGAAATTCTTTCACATTTCGTTTTATTTTCCAATGTAAACCAATCTGCATAAATACATATACATACATCGACACGCGCACGCAAACACATGCAAGCACTCAAGTATGCGCTGACACAGATACATAGAGAGATAAATTATATGTCTTTAGGTACAATATGAATGGCTTAATTAAATATTCAATTGTCCTACTCGCTTTTAATGACGTGACTGATGGCGAAATCCAGACTCCTGTATCTTACCAGTTTAGAGTAAGGATGACAGGTAAATCTAACACTAATACTCAGTGTTAACTCACCAACACCTGCTCAGCAACTGATTCATTTTAGGTATCTGACAGTATTAATAACGATAGCTGAGGTAGGCCAACGTCGATTTACATTTAGCCTAGTTGTTTGAGATTTGCGAAGTCGTAGTAGTTGGGGTCTGAATCTCTCGCAGCATCTCAGAGGTTCGAACACCAGGACACGAAATCGGTACTCGATGCCTTCGTCCACTGAGACATTAAGGCCTGAGCAGTCTTGTATCAAATCACCTGCTTGGGAATAGTTTATGGCTTGGAATGTTTTCATTTGTCTTAAAAGTATTGTTTACAGTCAAGACTCGGAAGACCGTTCAGAATTTTGTTCTCAGTGGACTCGACTCGTAATTCTCATGGTTGGAAGTTTTGTTTACTGTACTCTTCGAGCCACATAATTACGTTGACTTTGGCTTCGAAACACAGATATACGCCATAACAGTTCTTCAGACTTACGAATATGCCAAAGGGATTTTCGTTATGCTACTTTTCAATACCCTGAAGAATCAGTATAGCAGAAAGGCCGTCAGCATAATTGTATATTTTTCGTTCTTCCCTCCACTGCTTTATTTACGCGTTCAATACGAATCTTCCACAATCGCTGGCCTGCCCCATGAACAAACACATGCAAGCACTCAAGTATGCGCTGACACAGATACATAGAGAGATAAATTATATGTCTTTAGGTACAATATGAATGGCTTAATTAAATATTCAATTGTCCTACTCGCTTTTAATGACGTGACTGATGGCGAAATCCAGACTCCTGTATCTTACCAGTTTAGAGTAAGGATGACAGGTAAATCTAACACTAATACTCAGTGTTAACTCACCAACACCTGCTCAGCAACTGATTCATTTTAGGTATCTGACAGTATTAATAACGATAACTGAGGTAGGCCAACGTCGATTTACATTTAGCCTAGTTGTTTGAGATTTGCGAAGTCGTAGTAGTTGGGGTCTGAATCTCTCGCAGCATCTCAGAGGTTCGAACACCAGGACACGAAATCGGTACTCGATGCCTTCGTCCACTGAGACATTAAGGCCTGAGCAGTCTTGTATCAAATCACCTGCTTGGAAATAGTTTATGGCTTGGAATGTTTTCATTTGTCTTAAAAGTCTTGTTTACAGTCAAGACTCGGAAGACCGTTCAGAATTTTGTTCTCAGTGGACTCGACTCGTAATTCTCATGGTTGGAAGTTTTGTTTACTGTACCCTTCGAGCCACATAATTACGTTGACTTTGGCTTCGAAACACAGATATACGCCATAACAGTTCTTCAGACTTACGAATATGCCAAAGGGATTTTCGTTATGCTACTTTTCAATACCCTGAATAATCAGTATAGCAGAAAGGCCGTCAGCATAATTGTATATTTATCGTTCTTCCCTCCACTGCTTTATTTACGCGTTCAATACGAATCTTCCACAATCGCTGGCCTGCCCCATGACTGCTCCCTGTCACTGCCAGCAAGATAAAGACGCGGCTTAGAGCGGAGGAGAGTGGAGAATCGAAGTCGTCGGAGAGAAAAGGAGAGGCGTAGGAGGAATCCTAAAAATTCAACAGCGTATACCTACTACTCTGTGTTTATTGATCAGTGCCACTCCAAGCCTTCCGCTGTTTTCAATATCTTGCTGTGCAACTGTATGTAGTAAGATTGGTACATCTTTGATTCTATATATCATAAAAGCCG